ATATTCTGCTGGTTTGGCGTCTTAAATTCAAGAATGGAGTGTTGAGGCTGTGAAGATGATGCATAATTAATACATGAAGAAATTGAAAAGAATAAGAATAACAAGAAGAGAAAATTAGCGTGTGTTACGTTACGTTAGCCAACCAGAGAAGATTACAGTCAGTCAGTCACCAATTGTATGGATTCTGACTTCTGGGGTGCATTCTTTTGATTGGGTTTGGTAGCCAGTTGCACGGACGCGACAACACTATTAATGGTCTAACAATAACAAGAGACTATAAAAATAGAGTCCAGATGATATTTCGAATGAAAGGTTGCAAAAGACTGATGGATATGGACATAGGTTTATCTTAAGGTTGTGTTTGGTTTAAAGGAAAAAATAGAAAAAGGTAGAAAAATCTGTATAAGATTTGTAAAGATTTTTCTATATTTCCCTTCCTTTCCCTATTTATTCCTTAAATCAAACATAACCACTGTATATTAAAAACATCTCCCCTGCATAATATTATATAAGTACAGAATACATGGTGAGATATACATACGAGGTCGATGTGAAATGTGCTGAGTCAGGAGCACGACAGTTTTTAGACAGTGAGTTTACATCGGGTGCAACTGCAAGCCTGCAACCAGGATTGCAGCACTCCTTTTCAAACCCGGTGAAAATAAAATCTTGTGAAACTTTCTAATTCCAATAATGATGTGTCTGTGTTTTAGTGGGTGGGTGGAAGAGAGTGTTGCTGTTATGGTCACTGCAGATGTGTTCTCGGGCTGGAGGGAGGAAGTGAGATCGGCTTTGGTGCTCACAAGATTGCACAGCCTTTTACACCGTATATTGCAGAACACAGCCTTTTATACCGTATATTGCGAATATCTCGGTATTTGTATATTTTTTTGATGAGGAAATATTCAGGAAGCAAGGCTGCAAGGGACTGTACTAACGGAGTGAGCAGCCCATTTATGAGGATGTTAAAAGAGGGAAAAAGGGGGAAATTTTCAGATTAATACCCTGTACTTAAGGGATTAATATCATTTTAGTCCCTTAACGTACTTAAACTTCCAAAACACATCAATTTAATCTTTGCCATTAGGAATGACAATTTTCCCCATTTTCTCAATTCTCGTGGAGATCTGCCCTGAATGAAGCGCGGGGATAGGAATGATTTTCCCCTTGTGGGGATGAGGATAGGGAAATTTTCATCCCCATTGGTGGGGATGGGGCAGGGACGAGGAGAGCACTCTCCCTTTAGGGACCCCGATCCCTGCCCTATTGGATCCCCATTAATACAGTATGTATATATGTATGCATACATTTATATATGCATGCACTTATTTATTAATATTTTTAAAAATAATATGATTGAATATGTTTGAATTTTTCTAATATGATTATAATTTTTAATTATTTTATTTTTATTTATTAAATAAAAACAAAAACAAAAACAAAATGGTTGGTATTATAAAAATTCATTAAGAGTGGGGATCCCCACGGAAACGGGGATGGGGATTTTCACGGGAATGGAGATGGGGAGAGGCTCCCAGTCCCAGCCCCACCCCATTCTCATTCCTATTAACCATTAACGAACCATTAAAACTATTGTAAAAAGACAAAAATACCTTTTAGGTGTTATCTATTTTTCTTTGCATTTGGAAAAAATGCAAATGGAGCATAAAATTTGCACCCTATTTCCACCTTCCAAGAAGGAGAAAGATGGCACGCTATGTGTCGTCTCTATTCACGAAATGTATCCATTTGTCATCGCTCCCCTCATCAACTAGTTTGAGGCCGTATCTGATGCGATACAGCCACTTGAACCATTCAGACGAGACAAACACACACTGAATGTAAAACAACAGAAAACATAAAGCCAAAAAAAAAAAAGATGTTACATCCGTTGATCAGATTATGGGTATAAAAAAAGTTGATGCGACTTGAACCCCTTGGAGGAGATTATCCGAGAACCACAATTTTTTAATAAAAAAAATTACATGTTTAAAATATGTTGATCAGATTATCGCTGTGTGTTTGCCTCCTGGGCGTCGATGATGGCAAGTTCTTGCGACTTGATATAATTTGTTTTCTTTAAAAATCAATAAATTATTAAAAAAATAAAATATATCAATTTAAATAAAGAAAAACAAAAAAATATATGTATTTATTTTAATTATTTTCATCATATATATACATGTTTTTTATAAAAAATAAATAATATAATATAAATAATATTTTTATAAATAAATAGATAACATATATATGTTTATTACATATTTTTATATAAACAAATATATAACATATATTGGATTAGATATTCTCCAATCGAATAGGGGTAATTTGAATCTGATCCAATTCGATTTCTAATAGGATCTTATTATCCGATCTAAAGATTCGAACAAAAATGGTCTAAATTCGACAAAATAAAATCAGATCTCGGATCAGATCAGATCAGATCCATTTGCACCCCTATTTATGGTTAGACATTTAGGGGGTGTGGCGGCATGATTGGCTTTGTTTTTTTTGAAAACAAAAAACAATTGTCACATTAGTACAAAATTAATAAAATTAGAGGACAAATGTAATATGTATATGTAATGTTTCTTAATTGGAGATCACATTGGTGCTTCACATAGCCACAGCACATCCCAACCGTGTATTGTTCACCTCCTAGGCTTCATCTAAATTATGGATTAGCAAATCATGGGAACTAGACAAAAACACTCGATATATTAGTGATCTTATTTCAACATGTTTGGAAGCCCCGTAAAGGCATTTCATTTTCTATAGCATGGTTTTGGAACCACCATTGATCTGGACAGTCAGATTGTTTGGCCAGAAACTGTTTGGGCAATCGGTTCCGTTTCACTCTTAATCCATTATTTGACAAAAAACCGTTGACTTGATCAATGACCTGTTGATTTAGGCAATTGAATTGTTGACCCGTTTGACCCAAACAATAGTTTTTGGTCTTTTTATTTTCATTTTTTAATTTTTTTAATTTCCTTAAATTAGAATACACTATAACAAAGTAGGCCTCTAGCGGCGGATTTATCTGCCGCTATAGGGTCACAAAACTGCTGCTATAGATCTATAGCGGCGGATTTCCGGCGAATGGCTTTTTCGCTGCTGAAAATCACGTCGCTATAGGTTATAGTGGCAGATACAAAAACCGCCACTATAAATGTGCAATAGCGGCAAATATATATCCTATTGCGGCGGTATATTTGTCGCTAAAAAGCTACCAAATTCTTTAAAATAATTATATGCGCCACTATATGTATGTGTTTGGTACATATAACGGCACATATATCCACCGCTATAGATATACACTTAGACATATAGCGACAAATATATCCCCTGCTATAGATATAAATTTAATATATATAGCGGCAGATATAACGACCATTATATAGGTGTGTGTTTTATATATTGTGGCACATATATCCGCCGCTAAAAAATAAAAACATATATTTAGTGGCAAATATACCATTCCTATAAGTCAAATTATAGGAAATATCAGTACTGCTATTATATATATATATATATATATTTTTTTTTTTTTACAACCTATAATATATTTACATAGGACACATACTGTTTAATTTTTACATCACATTAGAATTGCAAATAAAATTTAATATTATTTATTAAAGTACACCAAAATGTGGATTCATACATAAATGTTACTAAAATAAACCACAATAAAAATGTAAAATGTTGATCTCAAAATATCTTCATCCATGCCTATTATCACTCCTTCCATATTGGTTCAACCTGAAAATCAAAATGGAAAAAAAAAAACATAAAAATTAGATAACGCATTATGTACATCAAGTTATAATGCGTAACTTGATGGAATATGCCCCACTTGGGAGATATCCATATGCCAAGAATAGCTTAACTTAATAATCCCCATCTAACTATCACATTTAATCAAGATTGACTATTAAGTTTCTTTTCCCTTTAAGACAATGCAAGATGAGAGAGATCAAAGAGCTACACAAACCAATTAAACAAGATCCTAGGCTAGGAGAATTTCTAGGAAAGACCAACTAAATGATAGATGCAATCCCACTATGTACTCTACAATTATGGTTATTAATTGGTTGTATTAAATGAAACCTTCACTTTCCATTCTAATTTGTTTTCCCGTTATGTTGGAAATGGGGAACAGTAGTGCATTAAATCAGATACTTCAAAAACAAAATCAAAAGTAAAGCTCTATTAATTTCTTAATATTGAAAAAATAATTATTTTATTAAGCATTTAACAATAATATATTATTTTTATTAAAAATTATTAATATAAATGAATCTAAATTACTAAATTATTTTTATAATAAATCAATAAAAAAAAGATTAATTATTTTAAACAACATTGTATTCTATTGTTAATTTTCCCTTGACAAATCTGGTGCATTGCACGGGTCACGGCTAAGATACATATATGGTGAAGTATATATATATATATATATATATCATGCAATATCGAACAGGCTGAGATTTGGTTGGGCTAGGCTCGAAGTTGGGCTCAGGCTACCCGAGTCCTCAACCTAAGTCCAACCTTTAAGTCAGGCCCATGTTTCGTAGCGCTGATCCATGCCGAAGCCCAAACACTCAATTTACAGCCCACTCTCATCTTCAGTTACCCTTTCAAATTTCAGTTATTATGAATTATGAAAATTATAAAATTTTAAATGGTCAAGAAAAGAAAAACGGTTGGTACAATTGCCATTTTAATAGTGGTATTCCAGCTGATTCGGACTCCCCAATAGTAGACAATCTCCTTCTATAAATTCATGTTGAAAATGAACAATAAGCAACCCAGACTAGAAAAATAAAGAGAGGGTGATCGTCTGGGTTGTTGTCTCTGGTCCTTGTCCCTGACTTTGAATCTTCGACGCTTTCGTTTGCTCCATCTCTGTTGAATATTCAGAGAGGGCAACCGAAAGCGATCGAGAGATAGAGGTGCCCTTGCTTGGTTGGGTTAAGCTTCTACGTAGATCGATGATGGAACAACGTTTGTTAACCTTGTGTCTTATTGCAAGCTTCATGGGTCTTCTTCTGCCTTTGGGGGAAGCCATTTGGTTGAAACTTCCTCCTTCAGAAATCAAGTGTGTTTCAGAAGAAATCCAACACAACGTCATGGTCACGGGCAATTACAATGTCATCTTCGAAGACCAAACCAACGATGTCCCTGCCATCAACGCAAGGGTACGCGCGGTTTCTACCCCCAAATTCTCTAATGCATTTAGTGTATTTTTCTATTATTTCTGTTGGATGTTGATTAGTGATTAAAGTCATTAAACCCCTATCACCTACATCTGTGACTGCAACTGATCACCTGATAATTAAATAGTCCTTTTAATTTGTTTTTTCAGTTGACATCTCCATTTGGGAACATCATCCGTGAAGTAGAAAATGTCACTGATGACCAGTTTGAATTCAAAACCACAAAGACGGGGAGTTACATCCTTTGTTTTTGGATGTATGATAATCGAGATGTAGTAGCAAACATCAACCTTGATTGGAAAGTCGGAATTTCTACAAGGGACTGGGATTCTGTTTCTAAACATGAAAAGCTTGAGGTTTGCACTTGCTCCTCTCTAGCTATAGCTAGCTCTTTAATTTAATTTGCCTCCTGGCTCAGTGATTCAAATTCAATTGATGAATATATATATCGTGTCATGAAGGGTGTTGAGCTTGGGCTGTGGAAAAACGAGTTAATAGTGGATTACATTCACGAAACGATGCTTCGTCTTAGAAGCAGGTATGGTTTAATTTCTATACATTATGATTCAATACATCCAAATTTAGTTGACATTCTTAATTTACACTCGTTGATCTAATAACATCTGATTTATTAACTATTTCTGGTTGATTATAATAGGGAAGCGGAAATGAGGATGGTAAGCGAAACGACCAATACAAGAGTAGCAATGTTCAGTATCATGTCCTTGGGTATGTGCGTAATGGTTTCAGCTGTGCAACTATGGAATTTGAGACGCTACTTCGAAAAGAAGAGGATTATTTGAACTTGCCGAATTGATAGTTTCCAAATACAGAAGAACATACAACCATTTCAAGGAATGAAAAATTAGATCCGGATTATAGAGGTCTTTGCACCAATGCTTTCTTAAGTTTCTAACTCTGGGTAAAATTTTTTGGGTTATTGATAGAATTTCCGGCCTTGCTGAAAGAGGAACAATGGAATCCAGAATAGCTAACTAACTACATGGAAGTGTGTAGCTCGAAGCATATCTGCTACGTACATGTACATTAAACTTTGTCAGTTCTAAACACTTGACACCCACAAAAATATATGTATACATTTTATTCTATCTTATGAATCTTTTTTTTTTTTTTTATAGTTGCATTTTGCAAAAGCATCAATTCATATCTAAGATTCTACCATAAAAATGATATTTGAGTTTTGAGAAGCACACTACCACATGTTTGACCAATACACACTAACGAACTCATCAAGGAGAAACCAAATTCAACCTTAGCACTGGAACAATCCACCATACTTTCACACTCAATGTCTCCATGGCTCTAATTAGATCCAAGTTGTCTCTTCTTGATAGCTCTTACTTAGATGATAGGTAACCCCTTCCAAAAAGGCTCTTACTCGACAGTCCGGAAGGAGATTGGCTTCTATTAGGGCAAATCTGTACTTACACCGTTCTAACAGTCTTTTGCAACATTGTATTGAGAATATCCCCATGAAATAAGTATATAAGTAAGGAGATATTCTTAATGCAAGGCAGTAAAGGTTGTTCCAATGGGCTTTGCCCCAACTGAAACCGAACTCCTGTATTTACAATGTTGTAAGCATGTTCAATGATTATCTAGAAAATTTTTTAACACCGTTCCCTTCAAATAACCCCAGCCTACCCTTACCCTTGAAAAGGATTAAAAACCATTTTTGAAAATTGTCAGAATTATTATTTATGATCAAATGCTCATTGAACGTGCTTATACTGTATTGTGCCTACTAGATCTGCTCCCCTTACTCGAATGGTAGGTTGCCACATCACATGATCCGGATGCAAGACAGTAGCGCAGATTTATAAATGCAATCTGCACTCTCAATGAAGAGTAATCAAATTCTGTATTAATTTATATTAACTTCAAACGGTTTTTAAAATAATAAAAATTAATAGTTTTTATTAATTATATTATTTTCAAATGCATTTTAACTGGACTTTACATTCATAAAAAGTAATTTAAAAATTAATATTTTTTCTTTAGCTTTTTATTAATTATTATTTTTATTAACAACTAAGTTTTGTTATTTTCTATTAATAAAAATTTAATTTTAATTTTTAACATTATTTTTGTAATTATTTTCAAATAGAATTTAAGTGAATTTTAAATTATAATTTTTACTAGTGATAACAGTTAATAATTATTATAGATTATATAATTAAATATAATTATTATGAGCTTTTGTAATTAATTGTTAGTTTTAATTAATTATTATACTTTAACTATTGTTATTTTATCCTATTTTATTATCTATTATTTTTCTCTTTTTACTTTATAGATATCTTTTTTTCTACTCATCCTATTTTAATATTTAGCTTAACTTAATTATTGATATTTTAATACGTCTTATTCATTTGTCATTTTAATTAATTAATATTAACCAAAAATAAAATTCTAACTTAAAAATAAGGACTTGTATTAAAGTATAAAGATCGTTGCATTTTACCAAAAAAAAAAAAGAGTATAATACAAATTGTTAGCTAATGAAGGAGCGCTATAAAGCATAGGAATCGTGTATGGTACAGAACTAGATTGTGGTGTGCCTATATACAGTGTGGATCTTAAAATGCCTGCCTACCAAACGGGCATCATTAATCAGCCCATCACTTTTTTATCATTTCTATCCATGAATTAAAAAGCAGGTATTTTGAAAGCAGAATGTCGTCCTTTCTGATTTCTTTATTCTTTTACTACAAAGATGTGACCAAATGGATTCGATCCCATTAAAGTGCTCTTGCACACGAAACATAAAGCTTGGGTTCACATCAGGGGTGAGCATGAGTCAGCTTGGTTATATTTCAAGGCAGAACATAAAATTAGGGGTGGGTATTCGATTTATTTGGTTAAAAACCGAATTAAATAAATTAAAATTTTTATAATTGGATTAAAAAAATAAAAATTGAAAATTATAGAAAAATCAAAATAATCAAAACTGAAATTTTTTATTCTGTTTTCGGTTAAAACCAAATTTTAATAATGTATATACTATTATATATATTATACATATAATATATAATATATTATGAAAGCAAATTTCATTATATTACATATTAATACATAAATAATATAATATATTATACATTATATGTTACATATTATATATTATATATTACATATTATATACCAACGTTTGGTTAATCTGTTTTATTTGGTCAATTGAATTTTTAATTCTAAAAACTGAAATAAAAAACCGAATTAAACAAAACCCAAAAAATCCAAACTGAAATAACTGAAACCAAAATTTTTTGTCCGGTTTTTTGGTTTTAACTGAATTATACTCACCCCTACCTAAAACCTATCCTGTAGGAGTTGGTTCTATGGTCTACTGGTAAAACCTATTATATCTTTACCCCTTCCAAAAAAATGGAACTTCTTCTTTAAAAACATTATTTTTAATAATAATAATAATAATATAATTCAAAACATATGTTACCTTTATTGATTAAGTTAATTAAATTGATCTATAAATTATCATAACATATTAATACGTAGTTCAAAATTAATTATTACCTTTTGCATTAGTTATTACACACAATTATTAAATTGATGAAAAATGATCAAATCACTTAAGTGACTTAATGGTCAAGTGAAACCATGGTCAATCAAAGGCCACCGAGGTCAACTAAAGGCCAACGAAGACTAGTTCTTTAGGTTGGTTTAGATAGGGTAATCCCTAAACCATAGAATTGGCTTAGGGAGGGATCAGTTACAAGAATTTGGAACCAGACCTATCCGGTAATAGATTGGGTACAGTTGGTTCAAGATCGGTTCTGGGTAGAACCTACCCATTTGCTCAGCCCTTGTTCCCACTTGGGTGATCCCATGTGGTTAACTTGATGTAAAATGAAATACAATTGGATGGTGAAGAAAGATAGAGACAATTGTAAGAGAAAACATTAAATAGCATTTTTGGGAACATGATATAGATAGTTTAACAAAGGTTTCAAGTGAGGGAGATGTTTTAGGTAGTTGAAAGTGTAGAAGTTAATGAGAGGTTTTAGATAGGCTTGCCTTCATGTGTTCCAACACTTAAAGTCTATTGCCATATTGACCAAGTATGTAACAATTGCTATTAGAGACTACCACCATATCTTAGGTTCAAATTATGGAATGGTCTCCTCAAGGGAAGGGTTATTATTTGGAGTATAGTGAAAATTTTCACAGAAAGGTCTACCTTGTTTAAAGTGAAAGGCATCACAAAAGAGTTGATTGAAATAGAGCAAGAGTTGCTAGAAGAAAAGGGTTGCCTATCACCATAGTAAGGGACTATATATGGAGTGGACTACCTACCACCAAAGTGAGAGCTACTTGTTGCGGCAGTTTTAAGGTGACAGTAGGCCTAGAAATATATTGTTTTTAGCGGCAGTCGACTAAAACTGCCACTAAAGATTTACCGACTGCCGCTAGATAAAAGACGAAAGGCGTGGGTTTTCCTCCCCCGCGCATTTCCTTCCCGCCACTAGTCTCTTTCTCAGTCCTCTCTCTCGCGCTCTTCACCTCTCACACTCTCTCTCTCTCTCTCTCCCCCGAGATCTCTATTAGTCGTTCTCTCGCTCTCGCTTGGTCTCTATCTCAATCTCTCTCAGTCCTCTCTTCTCTCTCTCGCTCTTTCTCTCTCGTGCTCTCTCTTTCTCACGCTCTCTCTCTCTCTCTCTCTCAGTCGTTCTCACACTCTCCTCGCTCTCTATCTCAATCTATCTCACACACAGTTACACACAATCGCACATCTCAATCTCTCGCTCTCTATCTCATCACACATCTGATTCAGGTAAAAATACCTTTCTCTGTTTTTTAGATTTTTTATTTTTTGAAAAAATCAATGGTCGAGCAGCTCATCAAAGAGCAGATCTCAGAGTTCAATGAGGCTTTCAGTCTCTTCGATAAGTAACGTCATTGAACTCTGAGATCTACTCTTTCGAATTTGAATTCAATTTGATCCTATTTTGTCGGATTCATATATCTTTCTATCAGATTTTTGAATTGGATCTGATCAAAAAATAGGTTTTATTTTAAAATCAGAACGAATTTGATATATATTGCATTTTTTAAAATAAAAATGGTTGAAAACAATGCTTATGTTTTTTTTTTTTTGCATGTTTTTCTTCGTATAAACTGTTTTATCTTTTTTCTATTAATAATTAGTTAATTCTATAAGTGGCATTTGTATCTGAAGAAGGTTTCTGGGTTTGGCCACACCACAGGGACTTGTCTTACAATAATTTGAGTGGCCTTATTCCCAAGTAAGTTGCTGCTAATTTTGAGTGGCCTTACAATAAACTGTTTTATTCTCATTATATTCTGATCCCAAAGCTAGCTTATATATAGAAAAGCTCTCCTAGAATGCTTTCATGTCTAAACATATATTTCACACTTTCTCTTCCATCTTTAACTGTATTTGGTTTCTGAAATGTTATCTCTTTGATTACTATATTACATTGATAAGTTACTGTTTTCTTTTTGCTGGTTGCTGAATTAATATAATACACTATTTATTCTCTCTCTCTCTCTCTCTGATATACTCATTTAGTAATCACAAGGATTTGCCAATTAATTATTGTTGTTGACATCAGCAAATTGAAATGGAGGTAATTTTATAACACAAACTTATAGTGATTGCGTAAGGTTAATTTCATCCTCCCATGAATCAAGTGATAACAAATTCGTCTTAAAAACTAGGCAATTAATTCCATCATCAAGGGTACCACTATAGACACGTCCAAATCCACCTTCCCCCAGTATTCTTGAATCATCATAGTTATCAGTAGCTCTTTCTATTTCACCTGCACTGAAAGTTCTAGCAGTTTCTATATATGTTGCAAAGCTAGATCCAAAGGATAGTGATGCAGAACTGGCTCCACTTCCAAACATCATAGATCCAACAGCCCCTGTAGAAATGAATATTCGATATGTACTATCTAACCAAAAAAATGAAAAATAAAAGCAATTATAATGATAAGAAATATTAGCAGTGCTTTACCTGATGTCTTTGCAAGGGAAGGTACAAAAGCTTCAATGGTGGATGCAGGTTGACTAGAATGTCTTCCACATTTCAATATAAACACCCAAGCGGCTCCAACACAGAATACAATGGCTATAACAGATAACAGAACTATTATAGCAATCATGCCACCACCAAGTCCTCCTTTTTGTTTCCTCCTCACATCAACTCCCAGAGGCTGTATTGTCCTTCCATTATTGCCATGGCCAGGTAAAGGTCCACCATCTATGGTGGTAATGCTTGAGGTTGTTGAAGGTGGGGAGGGAGGAAGCCCTGATATGGTGCAAGTGTTATTAACAGATGCCAGAGCCAGACTACATGATAAACTACATAGAAAAACATCCATTCACATGTACCTGGATATTTAACATACAACACTTCATACTCACCAAAGAAGGAAGCCTTTATGGCAATCTGTTTGTGCCAGAACTTCTCATAAGTCATAAATGCTGTGGTGTTATCAAATTTTACTCCAAGTGGCCCCAGATTGATAAGAACAATAGTATTCTCTGGCTGTTGGCTGGCTGCATTTGCTCCCATGGTATGAACTTGACTTTGTCTCATGAAAACTCCAGCTGCTATTTCTGCAGCCAGTTCAGAAACCAAAGGAAAGAAGGTGTATAGGGCCACACTAAGGCACAGTTCAACTTGCATTGGCAACACACAGGCACAGGGTGATCCTGGAGGGCTATTTGTATAAGGATCCACACATGCTAATAATGTACAATCTACAAGATAAGATATTTAGGTGTCACTAAGGTAAACTTGTGGAAAATGAATAATATAATAGAAGACCAAATAGAACATAATGTTGAATTAAGTATAAGAGAATTTGCAGATTTATTTACCTAAATTAGGAGGTGGTGGGGGTAATGTTTGAATTGATGGAGATAATGGTGTCTTTGGCTTCCTTGGCAAAGAACTTGGAGGAGAAATTTTGGGAGGAAGAACACGCCCTTGCTTACAGAAAGCAAGATTAGGGAACATCCATTAATTTTTACTGTACAGAAAACAAATGATGTAGGAGATGTAAGTTTCACCATACTTTGGCCGGATTGAACCACTGGCGATGGTACAGGTGCAAAAGAACCTCTTTTCACTGTTTGAGGAACTGGATATTGGACAAGGGAAATAGAGGGACATGCCAGGTTGGATCATAATAAGAGGTCAAAGTAAACAAACCAATTTACAGCTCAGATGCTTGGTCACATTGAACCTAAAATCAATTATTAAGTACCTAGTTGTTGGACTAGCACAACCCCAGAAAGGTAGAGTACAAGGGCATGGCTGTACATTAATTAAACAAAAAGAGAAATACACACGCCTCCATATATTCTACAAATATTGATTAGTTAATATGACAGCCCTATTATTTCAAGATAGATAATTACTTTAGAGTGTACCACATTTTGTCCATGGAAAGGTACAAAATTTTAGTTAAAATTGTTCACCCTCCCAAAAAAAAAACAGTTAAGATCAATATTTCACCAAAGGAAGAAGGGGATACATTGGTGATATACCACTTAAGGTATCATAAAGAAAATTAGAGGTGTCTCCTTTTGATCAAACATTAGGAAGAAATAACAATAATGGAACTTCAACATGAGAGGATGTAGCAAAAGAGCTGCACAGACCCACTGCTCACCCAATAAAAAATTCGAGGTATTAGGGATTTCACTGTATATGAAACCCCTCTCCACACCCAACAAAAAATTCAGGGAATAAAAGCAAGAGTCTTGCTAACTTCTTTGAGATGATCAGCCAACTCCCGAATAGGGATGCAAATGGATTGGATTTGAATGTGATTCATTTAAGTTGTATTTGGATCCATCTAGCCATAATTGGATTGAATTGAATATGAAAATATGATTCATTCATTAATTGGATCAAGTTTGGGTATTGCTTGATCCAATTTGCTAGGATCTGATTATATACATATATAAATGATCATTTTTAGTATTAAATTTCTTTAGAATTAAGCGGGGTTTGGGATTTAGACATACCCAGTTTTTCTATTTATAGTAAATATTTCTTGTTTCTATTTAATTTTGTAAATTAGAGCTGAAACTCAGATGATGACTGAATCCATAAATCTTCCAAGTGAATCAATACAAAATTAGAGCGAAATCTAAAAATACTTCGAAATTAATGGCTTTACTCTGCTATCTTCTTGGGAAATGGAATATCGCAATGATAAATTGATATAGCCGATGCTTGGGAAAATTCATGTTCTCCGTTGATTTCAAACCCTGCTCATAGAAAAAAGCAGAAATATGAGGTGTATTATGTGTTGTCTGTGTACAAGGGTCATTACCATATAGGTGAGTGTAAGTGTGTTTTTCTTTCTCCTTTTGTTTTTTTAAGCCCTGTATAAATATAATAATGAATATATGGTGTTTTTTTGTGTGAAAATTGGACTACTCTACCTTGTTGGCTAGTTTCAAGTTTCTGCACTTCTTTTCTACCTTGTTGGCTAGTTTGATTCAAGTTCCTGCACTTCTTTTCCTTTTGTAGTGTGAGGCGTTGAGCAGTAGTATGTAATGCAGTGTCAGATGTGACAGTCTAACTCAAAATCGTCTTGCTTTTCCTTGAGGTGTTTTTGGGTTTTGCTGAATTGTAAGGGGAAATAAATGTTTTTACATTGTTTGCTTTCCTTTATGGTTAAATGAAAGACACTTGAAACTTCAAGACCTGTTAGGCTGTTAGACTAACAGGGAAATTTCACTGTTTATTTCCCTCTTTTTGAATGATGAAGGCTGGTGGCTTGGAGCTGCCCTGGCTTGAG